AGTAGCTATTCCACACTAGGCTTTGAGGAATCTCATCTTGAGTATGTTGAGTCTATGGATAGACCCAGGGTTCTTAGGGAATTTCCATTGAGCCTTTACCTCATTCCACTAGGTTCCTTTTCTCTGAAACCTTGGTCCACAAATTCAAGGCACTTTGTAATCCCAAATCTGACTCCTCAGTTTAAGAAAAACAGAAGTGGTATATATCCTTCATTCCAGGGTTAGAAGGAGCCCTTTGCAGAAAGCCAGAATGAATGTGGGGCTTACCTCATATATGTTATTTCTCTCGAAGATCAAAGCCTCGCAATTCCAGTTGACAAGTACCAGGAAACCATTGCCTCATGTATTTGTACAGTTTTACCATAGTTTCCATCAGGAAGTTATGTATGATACTAGATTTTCTGACTTCCAGGATGCTGACATGGGGAGTTTTAAAAATAAAGATATTTCATGTAAAAAAAAACACATTTCCAGCCTTAGTAGATTATTGCTAGGGCCCTTTGGAGTATTCAAACGGGTTTCCCAAAAGGTATTGCAATGTTTAAATTGAAATATGGGAATATGAAAAAATCCCCCACTTTAATTCTTATCCCCAGAAGGGAAGACAGACACCAAAGCATCAGAGGCAAACAGCCTCTGTCCTGTATGTGCATGGGGTATTCAGTGTAGTTGTCTTGGTTTGCAAACTCAGTCATAGTGGGGCATTTGGTGACAACGTGCATGGGGTATTCAGTGTAGTTGTCTTGGTTTGCAAACTCAGTCATAGTGGGGCATTTGGTGACATCAGAAAAACCAACGATGTTTTCAATGGAGAAATGCACTGTTCCCCCAATAACTGCTCTCTATCTCCAGAACATTCGGACTCCAGGAAGTAACTTTGATAATAGCAGTGAAATGTAATATGTTACATCACTTGACCTAATAGCCTCCCACTTCCCACTCCCACCCCACTTCTATACTTGCAGTCTTCTGGCTAGAGGCTAAGTCAAATGGACATGTGATTTATTAGGAGGAATTAAGAACTTGAAAACACATCACTTATCTCAGATTCATGTCAAAAACATTTGTTAGTGCCATTGAGTTTACTCCATCTCCCAGCATTGCTATGAAAGAGTGATGTCAACAATTCCCTGCTCAGTTTCTATAAACTCATGCCCATGCCTTCCTTTATAGGACTTAACCATCTCATATTTTGTTTTCCTGTTTTCTTGATGTCTTTTATTTGCCCAGCATTATTTTTTCCAAAGAACCTTGACTTTTCATGGTGTGCCCAAAGTAAGACAGAATTATTAGTTTTGTCATATTTGCCTGCAGTGATGTTTTGGGCACAATTTGCTCTAGGACTTACTTGATTGTCTTTTTGGAAGTCCAGAGTATCAGTAGAGTTCTCCTTCTACACAACATTTCAAATGAATCATTTTTTTTACTATTAATCTTCTTCACTGTCCAACTATTGCACCTGTACATTGTAATTTGGAATACTAGGATGTGGAAGATCTTAGCTTTAATCTTTTGCTGCTAGTGATTTTTCCTAATTCATTCATGGCTGCCCTTCGGAGTCTCAGACTTTTCTTGATTTTTTTTTTTTTTTTTTTTTTTTGTGTGTGTGTGTGTGTGGCTAGAGTCTTCATTTGAATTGATAACTGGGATGAAGTAAATTCCTTAGTAATTTCAAAGTCTTTATTGTCTTTGTTAGAGCTATATCAAAAACATCTTCTACCAGATAAAGAGAAACGGTCAGATTTATCTGTGTAATGTATATACGAATGATCAAATTAACCTAAAGCAAAGTAGCCTTGATTAGCCCTTTATAGGGAAAATAAACTTGGGATACAGTATTTGGAGTCCATATATAAATTAACTTTTCTCAACCTACTGCCCAGGATAACTTTTTCTCATATCATATTATCACCTGAAAATTGTAACTAGCAGTAAAGAAAGTAAATAATATGCCACATACTATGTAAGACACACCTTTATTGTCTTGTTTAATAATCACAGTCTTATAGTGATGGTATCATTAGTCTCAATTTATAGATGATGACACGAACTTCAGAGAAATGAAATAACTTGTCCAAGTTATAAAATCAAAGGTTTGAATTTATGTGTCTATCTCTCTCCACATTTATATTTTCTATATACCAGTTTGCATTATTTCTTGATGATAAAAATTTACCTTGTTGCTTGTAAAATATTGCAAAGAATATGTTAGTGAAGAACCTTTATTATTAGATAAATTAGCTCATCAGTTTTCCAATCAAAGTTATCTGAAAAGGACATAGATAAATATTTCTATATCTGCAGAGTATTTTTAAAGTTATAAAATTTGACTCTATATTTTTTAAACATGCTTCATTTGAGATAATATATTTAAGCATATTCTTTGACTCTTGTCAGAATGGAAAACAATAATTCTCTTGCTTGATATAATGTCATTATGTTTGACAATACACTTGACAACCCAATTGCTAATATACCAAAGATTTTCAAGTTCTGTGCATCTGAAAGCCATTTAATGAAGTTAGAAAACCAGAAGCTTCACAGCCAAATATGCAAAGGTTACATAATCAAAGGAACTATCTATCTCTGGCATTTTTTGACATAAATTGTGTTTAAGAATTGTCAAATGTTTTATTTATTTTTTCCTTATCACTACAAAATAAACAAGGTTGTACAGAAAACAGGAAAGATGCTTTTGAAAAGACCTTAGATTTTGTTTTTTGTTTGTTTATTTTTTTGTAAAGGAAAGAGATCAAAATGAGAGGATCCTTTGTATCTAGCATATGTTTGAAAAATTCACAAATTGTAGAGAATTATTATTCATAATTACTTATTCATAATAGTAAAGTTGTCTTCTCTGTTTATATTTTTGTTTATGTTTTTCATTTTGTTTTCTTAATAATATGTTATCACTATTTTTTATGTCTAAGCACTAATTTTCAAATAATATTTGATATTGGCCCTTTAATGTCAACAAATGATTATTATTATTTTAAATTATTATATTTTGTAGAGAGAAGAAGGAAGAGGGATAGAGAGATAGAAACATAAATGAGAGAAAAATATCTATTGGTTGCCTACTGCACCACATCTTACTGGGGATTGAGTCCATAACTTAGACATGTGCACTGACTGGGAATCCAATCTGTGACCTCTGGTTTCGATGCTCAACCACTTAGCCACAGCACCTGGGCAATATTTATTTTATATGAATTATGAGGTGTAAAAAGACAAGTCAAAAGTGACATTTGTTATTGCCTGGTTCAACAAACACTCCTCTGTAACATTTAGGGAACAGGGAATCTAGGAAAGAAAGTGATCCACTCAATTTGAACACAAATTAGATATATGCAAGAATAAAAATCCTGATTATATGATGTTTTTTCACCAAATTATTTTGTTGAAGTAGATTTTTAATGCCAAGAATTGTTGAGTTCGGCCTGCATTGCACAGTAGTTAAGTGTCCACCTATGAACCAGGAGGTCAGGGCACATATTAACACAGCTTGATCTCTCGCTTCAAGAGAAGTTTTCAAGAACAAAGGTTATGTCAGTTGTGAAGGACTTAAAATATGTTATGCTTGGGGATTTTTGGTTGTTTTGTTTTGTTTTTGAAAAACAGAAAGGAGATGATTGCTGAAGTGTAATAAGTGTTTGTTTATTCATTTCACATTCATCCCATGGATTATTAAAGAGAGCCTTAAGGAGGAAATGGGGATCTGCAAAGAATGGGATAAAGAGATATCATAGTTATGGTACAATTTAATTAAATTACCTGCACAGGACTAGACAAGTATTTTTACTTGAGTTGGAAAAGATACATTTTGCAGATAAAGCTAAGAGGAGCAAAAGTGGTTGTGAGTGAACCACATAACATTCTTTACTTATCAAAAATGTATTCCAGTCTTGGCCAGTTTGGCTCACTGGTTAAAGTATAGGCCTGAAGGGTTCATAGGTTCAATTTCCAGTCCAAGGCACATACCTTAGTTTCATGTTCCCCTGCCCCGGTAGTGGAGCCTGTAGGAGGCAACCAATCCATGTGCCCCTCTCATGTCAATGTTTCTCTCTCTCCCCTTCCTACTTCTTTTTCAATCTTTCTAGAAATCAATGGGGGGAAGGGGGAAATATAGCCTCAGGTGAGGATTAAAAAGAAATGTATTCCAATTAGGTGTCACTCTAAAATGTAGACATTTTTAAAGTTATGATGTCAAAGTATTCTCTGCAAAAGAAATCTCAAGAACTTACACATGTGTTTTATTGGTTAATAAAATTATATAGGTTTCAGATATACCATTCTATAGTACATGATCTATATATTATATTGTGTGCTCACCACCAGGTTCCTTTTTTTTCTATACTTATTCCTAGGAGGGGTTTTTTTGTTTGTTTGTTTGTTTGTTTTTTACCTGAGATTCTGATTACTAAATAAAAAGCAAAAACCAAATCAAACAAAATATTTCCAAGAAATTACAGGGAAAGTTACAGAGATTAAGCAAAGAAGAAATATAGTGGTGATTTAGTGGAACAAGCCTTAGCTGTGTAATAGGTTTTTGCACATCTAGAATAGACCCTTCACAAACATCCAGTGAGCTTGTGTGTGCTGTTGCCTTATTTGATTTAAATTCTCAGAGATACGTTTTTCATGCTTACAGACACTAAAATGTATAATGGCAAATCTTTTAAATTTACAAAAACATAATGGGATCAGAATTTGGACAGGGGAATAGTCTTAATATTAGCCCAACTAGTGACTAGCAGAAGCTGTTGTGGCTATTGTGTTCTGAAGAATAAAGGCTGTTTTGAAAGAAAATCTTGTGTTTTTTTATTTTTTTATTTTACATGATGAATATTTATAATCAAGGACAAATAGAAATTATGTGCAATTCTGTCTCACGTGTTCTTAACAGCGGACCTATATTACTAGGTTCATTGTATTTCAGTAATTGCTGATTCATTTTAAAATCCTTTCTTTTGTATCTTTTTTTTTTTTTACCCCTGCAGGATATTTTCACTCCAGAATGCAAATTTAAGGAATCTGTGTTTGAAAACTACTACGTGATCTATTCTTCCACATTGTACCGTCAGCAAGAATCAGGCCGAGCATGGTTTCTGGGACTCAATAAAGAAGGTCAAATTATGAAGGGGAATAGAGTGAAGAAAACCAAGCCCTCGTCACATTTTGTACCAAAACCTATTGAAGGTATGAAACCAACTCCTTTTCTTCTTTAGCCTCGGATCAGTAGAGTTTACTTAGAATGCAACACATCAGAACAAAATTTCATAAAATACAATAGCACCTCTTCATATTAAAACATAAAGAAAATCATATTACAACTATTTGGTATTTAGAAAAAACTGCTTAAATATGAAAATTGAGAAATTGCTGAAATTAGAAAAGTAGTGGTAGTTACCATTTGAAATATAATTTCCTTCTTTTTTGAACACAACAATTTAATTCTTAGGCTACACCCTTAAGAAACCAGGAATACTATTTTAGACCTTTAAGGTTTTCAAAAGCATTTTAGAAATATGATTATAGCCAAATATTTATGTGTTTTGTAAATATATCTCACAATATAATCTATTAATATTTATTTGTATTTTTTTGAGGAAAGAAAATAGTATGCTATACTGTGATCAGTACGTATTAATTTATAGTATTAAATGTTATGTTCAGTTGAGCCTATAACTTTCCGTCCCTTCATTATTTAGGATCATTCTATTTAATTGATATTTAATATATGACTTATTTCAGATTGAGTAGTGCAATAAGTATCTTTATACTGAGGAAACTCACTTTTTGCAACTTCTTTCTTAAATAGGATGAGGCTATATCATTGGAGTGACCATATTTACTGCATTATTGCATCCAGACAGTTTTTTTTTCCTTTTCTTTTTATATAGGTTCTGAGAGCAGCAGTGGTCTGGACATGTACAAACCTAACACTATTCTTCTTTAAATGCCATACACTATAATTACTTAAAACATTAATTTAGGCTCCTTGTTTGAGGAAAGGAGAAAATTGAGGCAGTGCATTACAATATATTATACATTTTATTTCCATTTGATTAGTGGATATTGGCCCTAAGATGTCACAGAAACATATGGTCTATGCCAGTGGTTGGCAAACTCATTAGTCAACAGAGCCAAATATCAACAGTATAATGATTGAAATTTCTTTTGAGAGCTGAAAACCAACTTCTGTGCATGGGCCACGAAGTTTCAATTGCACTGTATGAGTGTGCCCACACATGGTTATTTTGTGGAAGAGCCACACTCAAGGGGCCAAAGAGCTGCATTTGGCTCACAAGCCACAGTCTGCAAAAGGGCCTTGATATTTGGCCTTGTCCAAAGTACCCCTGGGACATTTGGTCCACACCAACCTACCTACCTCACTCCTTGCACCATTATTATCTAGGCTACTGAGAAAAAGAGGATTATTATTGATAGTACAGTCATAACACATTAATCAGATCAGTAAAATGATAGTATTTTTATATACTAACTAGAGGCCTAGTGTACAAAATTCATGCAACTCAGGGGAGGGAGGATTGTCCCTCAGCCCAGCCTGCACCCTCTCCAATGTGGGATCCACTCAGGGGATGTCCCAACTGCCAGTTTTAAACCGGCAGACATACATCTCTTTCACAATCCAGGACTACTGACTCCCAACTACTTGTCCCTAATTGTTTCTGCTTGCCAGCCTGATCAGCCCCTAACCATTTTTCTGCCAGCTGGATTGATGCCTAACTGCTCCCCCATGCAGGCCTGGTCCCTCCCAACTGTTCTCCCCTGCTGGCCTGGTCTCCCCTAGCTGCCCTCCCCTGCCGGCCTAGTCACCTCTAACTTCCCTTCCCTGCCAGTCATCTTGTGGCAGCCATCTTTGACCACATGGAGCCATATTTGACCACTTTGGAGCAGCCATTGAGGCAACCAATTTTGACCAAATGGGAGCGGTCATCTTGTGCATGGGTGTGAGGGTCAATTTGCATATTACCTCTTTATTATATAGGATCGTGTAAATTAAAAATCTAAATAAGTGTTATGGGCTTTCTAAACCCAGAGATGTTTTCTTAGGTATAGACATTTTAGACAGGACCAAATGTCATGTTTTGCAATTACACCACACACACACATACACACACACACACACACACACACACACACACACTATACTGTGATATTGATAGTATTGCTGTCCCCTAAATATCTATAAGGTATAGGTATGGTCTGGTCAACCAGTATAGGACTCAATGCCTGTTGCAGAGTATATATGTGCTCCATGTAGTTTTCTTTGTCCTTCCATGCCCCCAATTTCCATGGAAGGACATGGAACATGCCTGGAACATGCCTATTAGTCCTTGTAAAAAATTGATTTAAGAATCAGTACTTCCATGAAGGGCTCCCTGACTTTCTTCAAATAGAATTAAGTATTCTGTTACCTTATCATCGTATACATTTCTCTCCCCTAGAAATTATCATATTGCATTCAATTTATCTTGCTTTCTACTCTAGCTCCTCTTATCCATGGTTCACTCTTTGCCCCTTTTTCCTCATATCTCCTTGTATCTTGTGAGAGACCTGGCATATCACACAAATGAACAAATGAATGAATAGCTAAGTATATAGATAAAGAAGAGCTACCTTATCCAGAGAACTTTGTACTGGAAATATGAAATGTTTTCTAACAGCTATAGTACAATGTAAAAAGAGATATGTCGCAAGCTACAGGAAATGCTATACGGACTTAGGGAAGGAGCTATCACTTCCACCAAAAGAATGATATCATGGAAGAGACTATATTTAAAGGTACCTCAGTCCTAGGCCTGGATCAGACCATTTGAGATGAGAGGTGGGGATTTGGCAGGACAAACAGCTCCAGAAGCCCCGTGAGTAAAGGCAATGATGTGCCTACTTAAGGTTATGCAGAGGATGCCTAAGAGATAATGTTTTGCATGGACAAACATATTGATTCTAAAAATGATGCTGTAGAAAGTTTTGCTTTTATCTTTGATCCTTAACTTATGCTTTTGACATTTTTTGTTGTTGTTTTGCAAGTATTATATGCTCATCAACAACTTTTGGGAAGTTTAGAAAAGTATAAAGGAAAAGGAAAATATGGTTGTCTTTTATCCATTCCTTTTATGGCTATATTTCATACTAACCCTCCCCACTATCCCAAAAAAGAAAGAAAGATCCATAACCTACCACCCTCATCACAACTGCACTGTGGCTAGTCAGGTTTTCATTTGAGTCAATATGGAAAGAAATGTACACAATGATTATGCTCCCAATTCCAGAGCTACTTTCATTCTACATTTCTTGCTACATTTCCGTACAAATTTGGAAAGAGATGAGTAGATGTTTCTAGCTGTGTATGTTGAATTAGGCTTGCTGCATATAAAACAAAACCCATGTGAAGAGCAGTTTAATTATAAAGAGTTTTTATTTTCTCTCAAACTAAACCTAGATGGCATCTGTCCAGTGCTGTGTCCTTCCCATTGTTTAAGACCCAGATGGCATTTGCCCGATGCACAACTCCCTTACCAGTGGGTTGTACAACCATGAATCAGCACAGCCACAAACTGTGCTGGCCTTGGATCTGCACTGATTCCCATGGAACAAACCAGCATCTTCATCCAGCCAGAGAGAGAGATGCAGGAGATGCTGTGCCATGTTCTAGGCAAAAAGGTCTCCATTTACTGCTATGATACTTCCATCCCTCTGACCACAACCTAGTCAGATGGCCATGCTTAGATGCAAGGAAGACTTAGAATATAGCATTTTTTTTCTAGATGGCTACCCAACAGGTACATGTTTTTAATGATTTGGGGAGAGTGACGAGATGGGCCTGGGACAACAAGGGGCCTCTGCTTCAGCCTGCCATCACTTCATAGCTCCGATTACCTAGCTTTCTCATTGACAGCTTTTGTTTAATTTTCTTTCTTTCTCTTTTTTTTTTAAATCATATATATTTTTACTAGTGCACAGATTCATGCACCAGTGGGGTCCCTCGGCATGGCCAGTAAGAATTGGGCCAAAATGGGCAGTCCAATGCTGCCTGCTGTTCCTGCCTACCAGTCCCACTCATTCCAGCCTTGCTGCGCCTACCATGGGCTCACGCTCAGCCATTCCCTATTGAAAGAGACTCCTGCTGCCACAGTGATGCTTGCCAACCATGAGCCCTGTGTCTGGTGCCCATAGGTCAGCTGACTGGTGCTACTGCCATAGAAAGCATCAGGGCTCAGCTCCTGCATTGAGGATCTTCCTGCTGCTGTATACTAGAGACTCAGTGCACAAAATTAGGGGGGCCCCTCAGCCCAACCTGCCCCCTTTCACAGACTAGGAGTCCTCAGGGAATGTCCTACTGACAGTCTGGCCTCCCTCTGTGGGAGGTGACTGGGCTGATCAGGGGAAGGTGCCAGCCCCATCACCATGCTGCTGCTGCCACTACCTGTGGCCACAGTTGCCAAGGTGTTTTCATCAACACGGACTCCAGTCCCTTCACCACAAAAAAATGACAACTTTCTTTAGGCATTTTCAAGATGTGTCTTTCACAGGATATGATATTTTTTTTTATTCTCACCTGGTGATGTTTCCATTGATTTTTAGAGAGCTTAGAAGAGAGAGGGAAAGACAGAGAGAAACATCAATGTGAGAGGGACACTTCAATTGGTTGCCTCCTGCATAAGCTCTGACCTGGGCCCCAGCCAGAGAGGAGCCTGAATCCTAGGTACATGCTCTTGATTAGAATTGAACCCAGACCCTGAGGTCAGCAGGCCAAGGATCTTTCCACTAAGCCAAGCTAGCTAGGGCAGAATATGACATTTCTTAGCTCCTCTAGCAGCAAACCTTAGGGTTTTCCTCCAGGAGTGTAGTGGAAAACACCTTCTTCGATTCTTATTACCTAAGATACCAAAAATACTGTGAGTGGTGGCATACAGGCAGATTAGCCAATGAGCTATAAGAAAAGGTGTTTCCTCTGCAGCTAATGTGCAGATGACCCCCTATGTTGTGTCCACTGGGATGGGAGTGTGCTCTGAGCCCTGTGTTGGCCACCACGAACATGCACCCAGCCCTGCGTTATGTCCACCCTAGTCTTAAATTGTGTCTGCTGGGCTGGGAGCATACTGCCTGTCCAGGTGGTCTCCTTCCCTCCCTCCATGGCCAGCCCATGGGACCCTGGCCTTGTAGCCAAC